AGTCATAGGTGACCCTACGGAAAAATCCCTCTTGAGAGGCCTTTCGTAAAAATCCACCAAACACATGCAAAATAAAAAATTCAAAAAAATCCCAGAGATAGCCCTTCATGAGCTAATAATAGGGAAAAAAAAGTTCATCGGAATTTTATTTAAGGACAAATTAGCGATTTTGTGTTTTTGTGAATATCGGCCAGAATTTAAGCCCGTACACAGCACGTCACTAAAAATTCGTAAAAATATTCCTGAAGTAAGGTATTTAAATAAAACCTCTCAAGCATATACTAGGATAGTTAAGCTACAATTTAAGCTTTAAAATTTTATTTTCACAAAAATCGGGAATATTTTACAGATTTTTCAACTTTAAGTATTTTCCGAAGACAAAAAATATTGCCTTATCAAACGTCTCATATTTCACAAACTACTTGGAGTTTGAACTCGTGCCTATGGTATCGTGAAAGTAGAATGCCTGAACTCCTAAAAACTGCAATAAAATTTTTTGGCTGGTAAAAATATGTAATTTGAGAGCCTTTGAAAGATCGCGTTTTTACGTCTAGAAATCCGTCACGCAATGCCGACACGAAAACATGTAGCCGAGTTAAAAATTAATCTGAACTCTAAAACCAACCTAAAATCGCTTGATATTTGCTTTGTGTAGGCTTTTAAATGGTAATGATGCAAAATAATGACAAATTATTGAGTTAAACGCTTTTTTAAAATGAGTTGTTGTTTTCGTATTTTTCGTGTTGACACATCAGTTGATTTGGTTTAAATTCACAAGTAGTTAAATTCAAACTAAGAACATCGTTATCACTCTTATTTTACCTTGTGTTATGATCCAACATCATAGTAGGTTATGTGCTTTGGATRATTGTTAAACATAGTTGAAATTGGCGACATTTTCGAGAAGTTTTGTATTWAGTTGTACGAGCGTGAATTTTGATCTGGACCGATGTACACAGGAAGCCCGGTTGAGTTTTGACCAGCGAAAAAAACCAGCTATATCCTGCTTGACAAAAAAAATTGCGTATTGTTTTACTATTAGCAGTAACATTATATTCTACAGTTTCAACTTTATGTTTGGCTCTGTGATTTACTTTAAAAAGAAAAAATTATTGCACACTATTGCTCAGTAATAATAAAGTAATATTATTTTACTTGGTTGGAAACTGCGACATAATTAATTAGGTATAGATATTAGATTTACTCCACCTTAACTGCTTATCACCAGAGGAACTAAAACATAGTAAACATACTATTTCAACTAAAYTGATTTCATAKAAAGAATTCTAAAGTATAACCTATACATTTTCGATGCCTTACTCTACACGTWATGTACTATCATCTTTCATAACAGGAACATGATTGAACTAAAGAATCTATCAATGATACGTAAGGGGCTYTTTTACGAACAGGCAGACCTTCGACYTCCATGCCAAAGAAAATACAAATCTGTCTAAGAAAAGATACGCTAAATTTCGTCMMTTTTTTCTCTGCGTGAAGRGAACACAAGTCATAAGTGTCGTATATGATTGGATGGASTAGTTGACATTCATTCAGTATCTTGTCTCGTGTGGCGCAGTATGCTGTCTGTTCCTCGGCTGGACGGTTAGTTTCTTCGCTGCTTGCTTGATTTTTCCTCTGCTTTACCGCCTTTCTTGAGAAGTAGGACTTAATTTGCTGGGGAGTGAGGAACTCGTCAATCGTAAATCTACGTCCACCATTCTCATTGCGAGCGTGACGGAGATCTCGTGCTACTTCAGCTGGGTCAGCTTTATTACCCCTCTTTACACCTAGATCAAATCTCTCATCCAAGTAGCTTTTTTGGTTRTCATTGAAACGAGCTGATCTCTTTGTAGATCTGAGAGCCCATCCTTGGCACACTGTTGGGTTACCCTTTATGGTAGCTGAGGAAGCACTTGCCATTTGTGGCTGACTACTGGTCCCTTCGTTTATTTTCCTAGTATAAAGAAGTTTAGCCTGGTCAAGCAAGGTGTACCTCTCTTGGCGGAGTTTGCATTTGCCATATAGTAGATGGTGCTCAAGATTTGAATGCCTCTTGTACGACCTAATACAACCATCACGAGGACATGGGAAAAGCTCACTTGTACTATCATCGACGTTATCTTTATCGATGTCGTCATCATCTCCTTCAGTCGTTTTTTCTTCATCTCCAATTTTCTTCTCTCTGCACTGTACAGTCATTGAGCATTGGTGTTTCTTGGGGAGTTAGTTTCACTTGAACTGTTGATAGATTAAAATTGTTAAAAAATCACTTTGGGTTTCAAATCACTATCAGCAACGTATTATTGCCATCATATCTATCACACTGCAAACAATTACCCACGCCACTACTGATGAAAGCGCCAACAGTAAACTATCAATATGAAACATTCTTTGATACATGTAGGTTGTCAGCAATGTCATTCTTTGCTACAGGGGGTGTCTTGGTAGGTGTCTTAAGTGGTGACTTT